TTCCTTAGCAATATTAAGATCAAAACACTGGCGGTAGGGTAAGATGTTGGATTGTTTCTGTGTATCTAATTCAAAATAAGAGTGAAATGCGAGTAGCAGCAAATGAATGGATTAGAACAACAAGGGGGATTTTCGGTTTATCACTGAAATACTCGTGAAGAACAAATATTTTAGGAATAAAGTGACCCTATCAGTAAGTCGTCCTCATCTTCGCCATCATTTTGCTCCATATTTAAACTTTTCCTTATATTGTATGCCCGATTACTGCGAACTAGACCATTTCGTCGTCGTCGGCACTGCAGGGTGATCACCACTAGCAGTATGATGAACAATATCAAAGCAACGGCGACAAGCCATTCATTAGATACCGTAGATTGAAGAGCAGACGTAGTAGTACTACTTGTTGGACTAACCCCGCCTATTCCGGACCGTATCACCGACATCATCTCTTCACGGGGCACACTCATATACTTATCCTGCCACTGCCTATAATAAAGGCTTCAAACAAATATGGCTATACAAAATGCACTAAAGCTCTTTGATGACCTCTCAAAGTTGCATAATGCTTAATTAGAAGTGCACATTTTGTTAACGACCTTTATGAAGCATTTGGTTTTAAAAACTGATCTAAACCTCTTATCGCAGTCGATTTCGTCTGACCCATCAGTACATTGTGCAATACCATTGCATAGATCATACAGGGCAATACATTCGCCATTATTGCACATCCACTGCCAGGGTTTACCACAAGTCAACACATGACATGACACCACCATTTCTGAAATTACGGTCACATTATTGGGTCCACATTTCACAAAGTACGACCTTATCACTCTTCTCTTCTCTTTTCCTTTCGGGAATGGCATTTAGAACAAGGCTTTTATTATTGAGGAACAGGATGAGGAAGAGCGATGATCGGAATCAAACTCCTGATAGCAGTTATCCTGTCAACCACTGTACAGTGCACCCCGTTTTTCCTTATATTAATGCAAGTAATAAGCACGGAAATTCAATAGGCATCCCAAATCATCGATTCTACGAAGGCCTCGCAGGTATTTCGCTCTATGCCAGCCTTAGGTCTCTCCTTCCATGTGTATAGACATTGTTGCAACAGGCAGTAGGCTATCGATCCCGGTTATCACTGCCATCAGCCATCACAGTGCATGAGAACAGGCTTCAGTCTACCACTGATGATTATAATAGAATTAAAAGCTTGTATTCTACAACGAAGATACCACAAGAAGTGACAGGGCTACCTCTTATAATCATTTTTCGTCTTGAAGCTCAATGATCATGTCCCAATGTCTTCTTACACATTGCAGACCACTGTTCCACTGTTCATCACTTAGTGAGGAAATATCAAGAAAATCACGAATTTCTTATGGTCATTTCCCTGAAATTTCTAAACATCTTAAAGTTACTTCATATCGATTTCAATGATACCGCTAATGTGAACGTCATTATAATCTGAGTTACAGGTTTGTGGTTATCATTTCAAGCCCCATACGTCCAAATCAGAGTAAAGTTTATACAAAATGAGGAAATTACAAGTCTAGTAATGTATCTTGACACAATATCTATCCCTGCTCGTTTTTTTTTATCTCACGTAAAATCAATTGTATTTGCAGTCACAGTCGTAATGGAGCTTCTAAATGACGTGGACATCCAGCTTGCTGCTGCAATTGCGTGTTATTTTCAAAACATTCGAAACTGTCAACGGGTAAGGGTTCTGTATTTTCCAGTTTGCATGATGATTTTTATCGCTATTTTTTTTATTAGTTAAACACGATGGCAATTCAAATTTTTTTCGACGGACATGAGATGAAAGAGGAGATAGCAAACCTTTCATCAAATACACTGACCCATTTAATATTTTTAGTGTTGAAATGTGAAAGGCAATCTCTCCACTACTAGTTTAATTGCAGTTACTGCAAATAAATTGTAGGTGATAAGTCAGAATGCACAACAATCGCAAGTTTTTCAAACAGTCAAACTGTTTGCTCGAGATAATCTTGCAACACGAAATACGACATCGAATTCATCCATTTGTAAGCTTCCTTCTCTTGACTTCATTTTCTCGACAATCTTATCTATAAAAACATTCCTTTATAATCATGCAAAATTTAGCTGTGAAAAAAAATAACTCATAACCAATTATACTGGAACTAATAAGTTTGGTTTGAAGTGATAAGTAATTAGGCAATCGTTATCGTCATTTTCGTTATAAAGAACCATCTCTCCTGCCTGAGCACAGAATTTTCGCGATACTGAATATATGCTACTGTACTTTACTTCACTGAAGTAGGAGTGAACAAAGTGATCAGCGTTAATCATTCATATGATTAAGATGCTAGTCTATTTCACTTTTCCACCGTATAAGCCAGGTCTGTTGATTATATGTCAAGTTGTACCAAAATTATTTCTTTGCGCAATGTTTCTAGGATTCCAGATAATGTTGACTGTCGAGCAGTATTGTCACAGCCGTGTTCGAGGAATAGGCAGAACAGAACGTCGACAAGAGCACCAACTACGGAAATACTTATTCCAGCTAAAATTGCTGAATGGAAAAACAAACTGGACCACTTAAGTTTTTTATTCAAGTAAGACTACCGTCATTTTAATCTCGAATATTGCCAAAATTAAGTTGACGCAATGTCATCATGGATATTTTGAGTTAAAAATTCGGGCTGAGTCTTTATACCTACTGATTTGGAGTAACCGTTATGAATTGTTGTTGATAATACGAAATGAACAGAGATTATACAAATAAGATAGGCAAGATGTGTTCCTGTACTATCTGATTTGATAGTGTCTGCATGCGATTTCATCCTATATTTCTCTGATATTTTGGGCGAGCTTCACTACTCACTACAACATTAATAACGAATAACCTTATCATAATTAGTTGAATCTTGTAGGTAAGCGTTTTAAATCTCACTTCTCAGTTTATAATGTTATAGTGAATTTCCCAGTAAATCGGATTTTTTTATACGGAAGAATGAATAGGATATTAGTGGATATTATGACCAAAAAAAAGTACACATTTACTTGAGTCTATAATTTAGAGATCAAAGAAAACAAAGATGTGTGTCGAAAGAGACGAATTCCTGATTGCCTGCAAACTTTAACTTTTTCTCTTTTCCTCTCTGCATCATAAATTCTCCTGCTTATTAAGTTCGTAGATTCCTTTTTTGTGATTATTTCAGCTCAATCTACAACGGTACTATGTCCTCAAACCAAATATGTGCAGATCTTCACATGGAATTTCGTGATCTGATTACCTTTTTGTGTTATACTTCTTCCACTAAAAGACCTGTCATAATTTTTGCTTTGGTGGAGGTGTATGCTGGATCCTTGGTGAAGCTGCACCAGTACTATGTGGTTGGTACTGATAATGTATGTTCCAAAACATTTATTATCACTGTTCGGGGTTGGAATACTTTTTCCAATTTTTGACCGTAATCTTTTTGAGCCGATTAAAGGTTTTTCGTTGGCGGATACCAATTCTGGATACTTTTTGGTTACCGAGGATCGAGTTCATTATTCAAAAATTGCATTAATCCAGCAGACTTCCTTTGTTTCCTGCATGTGCATGTGTACTGTGTCACTCTCCAGGGTTCAGAAAGGCTTCTGTATGCAGCAATTCATGAAGTGATATCGTTCTGGCTTCAATTTCTACATCGTAACAATGTAAATAAGTATGATCGGTTTTGGCTCCATACACGAGCCGTTATCACGCGAATGTTCAAAAACATCGTCATTCAGGAATGCATTCTTGCTGTTAAACATAGTTTGGCTTCAATGCTTAAAGAGTAAGTTATATGCTCCCGCTATAAGCGATGTTTATGTTCTGACAAGTACGGATTCGTTAGTAATAAAGAATGTATGCAGTATTATCAACTGAGTTCTAGACTCTTCTTGAAGCATTGATGGTGACTAGAAGGTTTGGAAGAGTGATTATGTCATAATAGTGGTGTGAAAATCTTTGGGAATCTATATTGCTGATCATGTTCATTGATTTAGGTTAACAATGCTCGTCCTAGAAAGTGGCGAGCATAGTTATGGTTTTTACGCATGCGAGCAAATCGAGTATTTGATGACCGTGTTATCTTATCAAACATCGTATGTCAGATACTAGGCAACTGGATACAATGCATTGCTCGTCGCTACTTTGTGTGAGAAAATTCATTTTCGGTCGTCATTTTTTAACATGACTTCTGTGTATTTCATTTATCTCATTGTGAATTATTTCTCTGTGAAAAGTTATTTCCTGTCTGCTGCTTACTGAAATTCGTGCTTTTGCTGTAATTGATTTTCTTTACTATTCAGTGATAAAAGAGTTGTGGGACTCAACATCTCAACTCATCCTGTCGGAATTTCCCGGACTGATGCATCTTTCTTAACTTTCAATTTCACATGACATACTTCTAGCTTCCCAACGACTACTTATATAAATCCCACGCTACCAATGCGAGTCCCTCAAAAATCATCTCCAGAAAGTTCAGTGTTGAAACGTCGTCCCTTTCTCCTTGGTCGGAACATTTGACCGGTACCATCGACTTCCGAAACTGGCTATGCCACGAGTTCCGCGATTATGATCTTGTTAATGCTACATATATTAGGTTTCCAGGTTTGGCATTATTGGGTGACATGGAGTTCCACCAAGGGGGTATTTTAGCATCCTGGTTTTTCTTTTACCTTAGTGAGACAGTTTAGGCTTCGATGGATGTAACTGGAGTAGAAGCCATTCGGGAACCCGCAATGTCTAGTTCGTCCATGCCGCAGCTGTCCACCGTGAAGTTTAATGCCCCAGATAACAGGTGATTATTAAAATAATTGGAATTAAACGTATTGAGATTGCCCTTGGAAGTCTAATCATTTTTCAAAGCCCGATGCAATGAAATTTCCATTACAGCTTTTAAAAGACTTAAATTTAACTTAAATGTGAGTCTTGCGCATTAGGATATGCCTCTGATGTTTTGAAATAGATAAGACTTCGCAAATTAGATTTAAATTTACAGGATGTGAGCTAAGATTCTTTATAATATTATTGTATGAAGGGTGATAATATGGTTCGAGGTTCTGCGGTTCATCTCTGAAATTTGACTAAGTTGAGCTGTGATGTGCGACAATGATAAGTAGACAAGAAAATACTGAGCTCAGTAATCATAATTTAACGGCTGCTAAAGCAAGTAAAGCCAACTCTTTTATGAAATGCTGAAATAAGACGAAAAAAAGGTTGCAAGCAGTGGTAACTTTGTGAATAAAATTTAGAGATTTATATGATGAAAGTGGTTCACTGAAAGTGCGTCGTTCCAATCGAGAAATTCGGAAACCTAAATTTGATGATGAAATTGTTGATAGTATTTCTACGGCTAAAATAGTGCAAAGAAAGCGACCAAGCGCTGAAAGGTTGCATCATTCTCCGGAAGCAGTAGATCGTTTTGTGGTACGCTTCGTATTATTCTCCCCAGAAGATTTTTCTGTGGTAATACTTTATAGCGGTCACCTTTTCGGTCTTATCCCATTTTGATCTGGAAACTGTGTTCTACTTATATTTTGTTGTAGGTTTGTTCAACTCATGAAGATTCCGGACCAGTTTTTCTTTCAAATGTTTGACAGTTTCAAATTTCTTTGCCGTTCATTTTTACTGCAGGAAAAAACTCAGTCGGCGACTCGAGCGAAACTTGGTAAGAGGCAGTGGCGTACCACCGAGACAAGCATTGGCGCTTCCGTTGAAGTGAAATGCTTTAAGAAGTTCCCAGGAAAACCTGTTTGTCCGATGCAATCTGTTGTTTTTGCTGATAAAGTACACATTTGATGTTCAAAACGCTGGAAATCGAAAACCTCAAAACCTTAGATAAAAGTAGAGCATCTCGCTGAAGTTATAAAAAGTATAAAAAAATATTTCTTCTAACGGAACATTTTACACTGGTCTTCAGACATAATAAATAATATGATTTATACATTTAAATAATTTGAATAACTTAATGATGATTTGACTAGGTTTTTAGTTTTTTTTTTTTTTTCATTCCACCAAAGCATTTATTTGTTAAAGAAACATTTTAGAAAAGACGCGAACGATCTGCAAGTAAAGAAGCACGAACAAAAGAGTTAACAACTTTAGCTTCGCATACAGCAAATCTCGGTACTGGTTTAAGCGAATCGTTGAAAAAATGGACTGCACTAGATGATGTTGCTCTTATAACAGCAGTAACTCGGGTACGGTATCAGACAACATCTCTTTAGAATTACAAAAATTTATCGTTCTTATAATCATTTCCCTGCTCGAGTTTTAAACTGTCTTACGAGGCAAGAGTTTTAAACAGTACCAAAACTATATTTGCATAATGTTTAGGTAAGCAGTCTTGCCGCTGTTCATGGAGCTGTTCGTTTTTCACGTCCTTTCACTCGAGCAGAGATTGAAGAAAGGTGGTATGAATTGCTGTACGATGAGGTTTCCTTTTTTGCTTTAACTTTGAAAAAATATATGGCTTAATTGTAGCCACAGCTTATAACTTGATAATATAGCTTAATTGCTCACGCTGAGAAGAGAATAGGTCACAAATCACAGGTTTCAGCTAATTTCAGTGATACTCATCAGAATTCCTCAGGTTTCAAGCGCAGTGCTCTCAGTAGGATGCGGTAACTTAGCTTTTCTCTCTCATTACACTTTCCTTTTGCATCTGGTGTACCTAATTTGTATACCTAAGCAGCCGGTTTTAATATTGTTCCACTCAATAGTTGTGTATTTTTCAATGTAGTTTTTCCGTAGTTTTTTTTTTTCAGTGTGTTTCTTTATATTTCTCTCTTTCTTTTCTACCCTAGTTCAATTTAAAGTTTCATCAAGGACGTACACACAAACTTGATCTTGTGAATTGAGTTAATCATTTTTAGCAACCTATTACCAGTAGTGAATTGATCTGTAGAAAAATCGTAATGGTTAACGAGCGTCTCAATGAGGATCTTTTCAGACCATTTCGAATATCGCAAAGAGGCGAATTGCAGATCTTTCTGTGGAAACCATAAGTGCAGTGCAATCAAGAACGGTTTTCACTATTGAAGAAGAAGAGCTGTTATCAGCTATTCCGTCTACAACTACCGGCAGTGATCTTTCAGTATTTGAACAGGTTGGACTGATGGCCGCTTTCATATTTTTTATGCTTTTTGCAGTGTTTAGGCCAAGATGTTTGATCCTTGATTTTAAATTATCGAGTTATCATTTGCAAAATTGTAATTGTTCCCATCATATCAAATCAATTTCAGCACCACAGTCTGCGGTACACGCCGTCGACTGCATGAAAAAAGTAGCTGGCAGAGAGGTTAAGAAATTAACTGCGGCAATTACGAAAATAATAAGATTGTAAACCGGATTTAATGCTTATCTCTGTAAAAACCGTTCGGGGAACTGAAACTTTCCTTCACTTTGCAGGTATTGGGTCGAAACAAGGAAGCATTCCATCACGCACGCACTGCGTGTGTTCTACAGCAACACTGGTTAGAAATGAAAAATTGGGATTTGTTACAAGATCAGAGGAAGGCTAGCAGTCGTGTCCTAGATTTTGCGGAAATCGAACAAAGTTTGGAGTGGAATGGTGGCTGGGATCGGCATATTAGCTTCGAAGAGACGCGTTTATGTAAAGCAGCAGTTTTAGCCGAACGTGCTTGGCTTGACTGGGAAAAAGTTATTTTTCTGTTTGTCGTTCCACAACACTCTAATATAAATTCTTTTCGTCTCTTTCAGTTCCTTTTTTCTATCTTTCTTGTATCAAATGCTGAAGATAAGGACATCGCTGTTAAGTAATTTCACATTGCTTTCGAGCATAGTACAGCATTTCTTTTTCATTTGCTGATTACTGGCTGGAGTAAGACTTTTGAAGCTGTGAATTATTATACTTCCAGAACTGTTTGGTTTCTTTACTCAGATTGGACGTTTCCAGGTACATGTTGAAGCTGTCAGTGGGATATCCGACGATTCACAAATGGGCGAGGGTGTTTGGGGTGTTTTGAAAGGGCGTGTGGTGCGTTATTTACTGCGAGGGGAGACTATTCTAATGGGTCGCAATACACAATTTCATAATGTATGTTGCTACCATAATTGTAACAACAAAAATACAGATTAAAATGATAAGTATACTTTTAGTTTTGCTTGACACATGCCTAAATCATTTATTCTAAATCAGTTATCTGTTTCGATTCTAGAACAGTTGTGCAAGTTTTGTGATAATAGCAACAATTGACTTGAAAAATCGTTTATTCGTTATAGTATGAGCTGAAACCTGTACACAGAAACACATCTTTGGTTGAGCATAGCTGCCTTTGTCATCTGTTATGCTTTATGAGTTTAAAAATGAGAAAAATGATACAAGACAGAAAACCTGCATTCGCAGATTATGAAATACTAATCAATTACATAACATCTGAAATATATATATGAAATACGAAGTTTCGAATGAGTGAGAAAGTAAATGAATCCCCTAACAATACCTTTAGAAACCAACTTCATCGCACTTTCAGGTTGATATTAATCTGGCTCTGGAAGGACCGGTTGCAACAATCAGTCGAAAACAAGCCATTTTGAGAATAATACAAAATGAGCAAACCAAAACAGTGGAGGTATTCTTATCCAATATTGGAAAGCCTCCAATATACGTCGATGGTAAAACGCTACTAAGTGGTGATAAAACCAGATTGTTCAGTAACGGGTTGATAGAAATTGCTCAGATACGCCTTCAGCTCTTCATTGCTGTAGGGAGCACTGGCAACGGTGAAAATTGTAGCAGCGGCAACAACCAACAAATTGGAACCAGACTAGTACCAACAGAACAACAATCGTTTAAAGCATTATCATCCATTGCCCTACCACAACCATTAGCATTTTGAGTATCAGTGATCCACCATTCTTGTTATATATTCGATACAGTTGCAAAAGATTCTGTTGGTAGCCTAGAAGTACTTTATCTCCAATTCACTTTTTGAAATCTTACAAGTCGAACAACCGGGCGCCTTCGCATATCGAAAACAAGTAATTTTAGAAGCATTTGTGATTGGTTTTTTGTAACTTCTCGTGATTTCTGAGTAAAAATGAAAAATGAAGAAAAAAAAGACTACCTTTGTGTTTGTGTTTTTACTACAGAGAGAGAATCAGAACTGAGCTGTTTTGGAAGTGAAATATGTGAATTATCGTCACGGCTCATTTTATGTTGTTTGGCCGCAGCTGGCATTTTTCTCTGGTTACCCATATTGAATACGAAATTTCGCCAACCAAGACGTCTTGAACCCTGGAAGCATTATTATTAAAATCAAGTTATTTAATTCCGGGACATAAATTTTCAAACACAGTCGAAATTGAAATAAATGAATGTAATCGGTAATTTGTAATAAATTGATAAAGATGATCATACAAATATAGGAATCTTTTAATTTCATAAGAATTACTTGTTGCTGAGCTGCCGAAAGTACTCCCCTGTAAATTTGGGAGCGTAAAAATCGTGGATACGAGTCTTTGCTCATCAAGGTGAATATATGTTCCTCAGCTGGAGAAAACGCATGCCGTCTAGCTAATTTATCTTGCAGTGATTTCATTGTAGCTTCTAGAGTACGTGAATCAACATTTACCTGGAAACGAAAAGTTACCAGTCGTGTTCCATTCTTGATTAACTTTTCACTCATAACCTAAATATTTAGCAACGACATGATACACAATTCTACCTATAGGGATGGACTTGAGCTGAATGGGTTCTTCCCCTTTTAATGGTTTCGTACTCTAAGGACACTACTCTTCGCCATAATTAAGAAAAAAAAAAACTTGCTCTGAAGGTACCTTATCTTAAAATATAAAGTCATGCTTGACGTTTGGAGCATGATTATTTTTTTTTAAATCGATGGTGCTTACGAAATACAGTAAAATAAATCTAAGAAATTAACTGTCTACTTGAAAATCACGAAACGAAAACTAAACGCAATTAATTTTGGTAATAAGTATCGAAAAGCATACCTGACAAGGAGCACCGGACGATAAAAATTCGTCATAAATATGCTGTGCCTTCCTTTCTACTTGCTCATTAGCAGAAAATTTCAAATCTTGAATAGCCATCCAAAACCGTATGTTTTCAGAAGAAAATTCGCTTTCTAGGAATGTTTCAAGAACTTGTCGTCCAATAGGATCACGAACGAGTTCTTGTACCGAAAGGCCCCACCGTTTAACCCGTCGTTCAGTCGGTACTTCCACTCTATAACAATCTTGCACAAAGAAGCTCTTTAAAATTTAACAGAAGACACATGTAGACTACCACTACTTTTACCTTAAAAGATTCTACCAACAAACAGTTGGTATGACACTTTTATTTACAAGAACAACAAAATACACAGTCAGTGCACTGTTTTGATAGGAAATATTTCTTTATTTTTAAACTTTGATTACAAAAAAATACTTGTTGAATACAGGGCAATATAGTCTGAGGGGAATTATTATTCATTTGGCAAATGCAACAGTAAAACTTACGAGTCAGTATTTAGCACCCATAAATTAGTGTCATCAGATATCCACGGATTACTAGGTTGTGGAGTTGTTATAAAAGGATCATAGTCATGGAACTGTTCGCACCAAGACACCATCCTAAATTTTATAGTGTTATTTGATATTATTATCTGGACGGCACGTGGCTGCATTAAACATTCTAATTATAACATACGAAGAACATCTACTTCATATTAAAATTAACAAACAGTATGTCATTTGCCTCGTATTTGGACTTTTTCATTACTAACAGTGAGATGAAAAAAAAAAATCTTAATATTATTATGATATTTTAAAAGGCTATGTACCCCACTCCTTTAAATACAAACTTTATTTCCTTTCGTTTGTTTATTTTTTTTTCCTTTTCTCATAGGAATAAAAAAAAACTATAAAGCTAAGAAAACTATAGTGAATGCTTACGTTTCACTCGCTTTCATAGCTTTCAGCCATGGTTTCGTTTTCAGAGTGAATCTCAACCGTTCCACTTCTGTTCGATAAACAGCAGCAGTACGCTTTCGTAATTTCTTCTCCTTCTTCTGAAACTATGTGACTTTCAAGAAATGCAATGTTGAATAAGTGCTGTACTGCAGGAAACACAGTTCGATGTAGTGAAACTGTCCACCAGTGAAGTCAGCGAGGAGTGTTTTCTCACTATCGAAATTGAAAAATTACTGGTCCATTTTTGCTGGTTACTGGTCCACCTCCATTTTTGTAATTTTAAGCTTACTGCTGTCAGAGATTACAAACACTAAGTTAACAGTTTCAATTTAATGCTCGATGGTTATCAAGAAGTGTTTCTATATCCAAAATATTCAAGGATAACAATTCAAGCCAAGTTTTTGAATAACTTTTTCCAATTCTTCCAATTTTTTCAAGTTTTTGGATAAAAGGGAAACCTGAATGTGTTGCTCCAGACAATTTGCTTGTCCAGGTCTTCGGGTTCTCCAGAATGCCCTTTCTTCACTATCATACACAACTTTATCGCTCTTTTTCTTTTCCTGCAAATACATTCCTTGCACTCACTTTGCTAATCCGAAAACTGATTACTCATCAAAGGCTTGATTATTGAAGCGATAAGTGATGTTGATGGTGATTATGATACATAATAGGTATCATAATATGTATCATTTATGATACATAATGGGTATCCCAATACGTATTATGATCAACGCCGACCATCGTTAACAATGATGTTGATATTACAACTGATTTCATAAAATGAAGTTTAAATAATCCTTTCAGTGATATATTAATGTTCAGTTCGGAAATTAATAGTTTGACTAATAAAACAATAAAGACATAGCTACGAAATAACAGACCTTCTGAATTTTCAGCTGCATTTCCGCTTGAACAGTAATAAAGTCCCACATGTGGCCAAGAAGCTCGAGAAGTTTATTATATGCCTCAACTTCATCTTCTTCCAAGCCATGCTTCTGCTCATTTCGCATAAGTCGTTTATTAAGGTAGATTGCTAACAACAAAACACATTCACTTTAACGCTTTCACCGATGGTCTTTTTTCTACATTTCATTTCTTAATAGAGCTTTCTGCCTAAGTGTTCCAATCACCAGTGAATAGAAAAATCTTTCTACATTCTGCACGAGGCAAAAAAGCAAAATATGAGATGAATTTTAACATTATTCATTAAACGGTGATCGACGTCACTGATGGCCTTCAATAATCAACTTACCATATTCTACATTATCAGTGTGAGTAGCATGTGAAGGCCAGAAATATGGCAGTTGCAATCTGTATAACGTATTATCGTCCTTGACAAGTAGTGAATGCTCGATCACAGGAAATATGTAACCGTGCTGAAGAAGCAAAGTTGCCAAGTGCAATGCATCCGCGAGATCATCAAAAGCCATCGACTCCTGCAATTTCTTGGATCGTCTCCCTTATGCACAATTGAAAAAAGCATGATTCAAGACCCCTTTTATATACTGTAGGTTACACGGGGAAAGGAAGGAAGGAAGGAAGTAAAATAAATTTTTGCGAGCAAAAAAGCTCTTTTGCATTGCATTATACCACCCAGGACCATTAGGCTAAGCGTTTGTACAATGCAGCATTTCTTCAGCATTAGCAGCGAAATAGCACACCATATATGAAATTTCTGAAAGAGAATCAAGATACCAACCTTAAATAGCAAGCTATCTCATGAAATAGTTAAGTTCCTTCGACCTGATATTAAACCTATACATGCATCATCTTCAAAAATCCTATCAAAATGGCATACAAGAATTCAAAAAGTGAGATTACATTAACATATACTGCAAAACACAATTTTCTTAGAAGTGATCATAAAAATCTGTCGTGAATTAAAAGGAAAAACAAACCTGTAAAAATGCAACAAGAGTTTGGCCAGTAAGAGCTTGTGGCACAGCCACGCGAAAATACTTAAGCGTTTTGAGCGGAGCAGTTTGAGCGATTCTCATAGACAGTGAATCGAGCTGAAAAATGTCCCTTCAAAGAATAACTTTACTGAATTATCAGCCCAGCGTTCAACCTATTACTGCGCTAGAATTTCCGACTAGAAGAACTATGACGCAAAAGAGACGATTCAGTTTAAAATGCATAGCTCACAAAGTATTTCAATTAACCACAGAAAAGATCCGTCTAGCCAACATTCTGAATAACTATTTTTGCAGCACTAAAAATTAACATACGATTTGTATGTTGCATGCCATCTGCATGTATATATGCTGAGTGGACTTGCTTTTAGTGACATCTCTACTATTATCTATAAGCACACGAAATCTTTTCTGATATGCAGTCTTTCTGATTCTGCAATATGTGCTCTCCTCTATCCATAGCTTACGAACCGAACGACATATAAAAGTTTAAAAAAAATGGAAAAAGTCGTTTATCACGACGTGATAAGAGGGTAAATGATTCACTCTTACTTGATTTTATCTCTTTTGAATGATGACTTCAAGCTGTAATTACTAAATGGAATGCAATGTGCTTATCAACCGCAAATAGTATCTATCATGAATCGTTTTTGCATCTTTCGTCTTAAGGAGATAAGCCTTAGATTTGCAAACGCGATTCATTTTCATGAGGATGAATTCTTAATGAAAAATTCTTTAAAGACTCAGTGATTAATTACTTATCACCGCTGCACCTCAAACATTTCAAACAAAAACTTTCAAGTTCCCCATCGGACAACACTCTGAATTTCATCATATTCTCCTTCCACATTACATTTTCATGCAGAATAATTATGCTATACAGAGAGGCATTACTGCATTATTAAGAGTGGACCTAAAAAAAAAGATAAGTATGACAACAGCTAATCCTCCTGCAGCACACGGTGAAGAAATGGTAGCGATGAAAGGACTTTTGATACATGTGTGTGTGTCAGGTGATAGTGATAGTAGTACATTTTTATTTCCAATAAAAAAACAAAGTGAAGTCTAAGAAAAGCGAGTATATTCTAAAATGAAATATGTCTAATTTGCTTTAGGTACTAAATTTCAGGATCGTGCAATCACAAGCAATCATCATATCGTTATTTCACACTCAAAAATGGACTAAGTGGACATGTCACTTAATATGTCTCTCAACAGAAAAACTTTCGAGACATGTAACTTGTTGAATACCGGAGATCCGAATACCGTATGAGTTGTGCAGCTAACAGGCATTTAGAGAGTTAAGTCTTGAAAATGAATTAAATAAGCAAAAAATCAACATCGAAAGTTAAAAAATCGACGGATACATGAGCCCTCTCATATGCAATCTCACATCTCTTTACTTCATTGGCACTTTCAGCATTATAAGTAATGTTAAATGCTATAAAAATAACTGCCTCAATGAGAGGAATAAATTAACTTGAAACAGGTATCGTGTTGGAGTAAAGTGATGGAGTGGGTAGTAATAACTATTACGACTGGAATGAATTCAACTGAAATGGAGAATATTCGGAGGTTTTAATCGGAAATAAGAGAAAAGGGAAACAAAACAAACCTTGGCAAGAGTGCAGGCAGCCATCCGTAAAAAGTACGTCTCCTCCGGAAACAATAGTACGTACCGTTGGCGTTAAGACCTAATGTCTATCGGTTGTAGTTACCGGCAACAGTAGTGCCAGCAAAGACTTCAGCATCCTCCCTGATACTATCAAAATCATAGACGATAGCAAAAATGCGTACGCGAGAGCTTCTTGGGACCTACGACTTACGCGCACGGTAGGAGTAATAGTAGTAGACAGAACATAGAGCAACGGCGGATCCTCATAGCGACAGCCAAATCATCCTGTTTCTCATTCTTTGGCTCATTGGGCCGATCTTTCATACTGCAATATACATATCACTGTTTATAAATCTTAGTGTGATAATAAAACGTGACGATTAGTGCTCCTGCTAATAATGACGACAGTTATACTAACTGAGCTGTTAGTGATGATTACATCGATAAATATGATGACGTCAGTGACAAAGATGATGACGATGATAATAAAGTATGATAACTATAATAACAAACACTATCAATGATAAAGTGACAGTGAAAATGAAACTGCACTGGAAAGGATGATTATTTGCTACAGCGACATAAAGTGCGCTACCGCAGAAGTTACTACGAACAATTTGTTACTTTGCATCTCCTTGTATGTCTATCAGAAACTCACACGTATACATACACGTACACACGTACACAGACACACGGACACACACATACACACATACAAACACACACACATACATATATATATACATACGCATAAATACATATGTGTGTATCCAGCACACATCTACATGGATGTGTGTGTACGTATATATATATATATATATATATATATATATATATATATATATATA